TGAATATAGTTAATTTATTTTCAATGTAGTAATGATTGGAATTTGAGCCCTCAGAGAGCTTCCAGAATGTACCAAAAATGGTATGGTAATCTTTTTCAATTTATTATTAGAAGTAATTTTAATCTTAAAAGCGCTTTGTATATATCTGATATGGTACAGTGAATTAATTATATAATCTATCCCTGTTTTCTGCCCTAATGAATTATAATAATCTTATTAATGACCACCATTTAACGGTCACTGCTTTAAATTTTCCCAATTCAAATGTAACATGCGCCCACCATATGATTTTCCTAGCTGTCAGCCAGTTTGGCATAATGTTTACAACCTGCGCCTGTCTTACAAATGGCGTTATACGTCATCATAATAATCATCATCATTATCCACAGCAGTTTGACATATACAAGTCTCTAAATAATAATAAAAAAACACAATAATAATCACAAAAAATAAACTATGCCCAAAAGTAAATCCGGTATTAAACGACCTATTATGAATATTGAAAGTATAAATTCTGCAATTTTGGACATAGAAAAAGGAATGACCATTGAGATGGCAGCAAAAAAGAATATGATTGCAAAAACTACACTGTGGCGGCATTATAAGAAACGTAAACTACAAATAGGAGTCTGCTCGAGTGGTCGTGTCGGTGGTGGTGGTGGCGTTGTTGTGGTGCCCAATGTCGTCACAGGTACCCCAACCACAAATAACAATGCTAAGGATGCTGTTTTTAATAATGAAGAGGAAATCTTTTTGGCTGAATATATCAAGACATTGGCCCAATTAAAATGTGATCTTAATCGTAACGATGTCATGAAATTCGCCTATCTAATAGCACATAAAAATCAAAAACAAATACCATTAACATGGACGACAAATGGCACAGCCGATGAGCAGTGGTTAAATGGTTTCCTTCAAAGGCATCCCAATATACCAATTGAAAAAATCGAAGAGAATACCATACAAAAGGCTAAGGAATGTTTATCGTTGCTATTGTTTAATCAAATTTTCAATTATTTAAATATGACAGTGAATAGTGGTGGCGGTGGTGGCCATATTGGTAGCACAAAATCGAAAAAGGAGTAAAATGAGGAGGAGGCAATGTGACTGCTTGCCCATATGCAAAGTGTGTACAAAGTTTAGTATATAAAAAAAATATGTGAAGATATATTATCATATCACTGTGTAGAAAGTTAGTTTTAGTATCAGAAGATAAAAAATAAGATATCTTAAGCCGGCCATTAAGATTATAAACATATTTTGAAATGAGAGGAAATGTACGGAACAGGTTGCAATTGTTACAAAAAGTCTTGTGTGCTATTAAAATGTGTCGCTCCAAGCGGAACAAAAGGGATGTTCTTCTTTCTTACAGTAACAACTTCTAAAGACTATGGAATGTAAGAGTGGATTAAAATAAAATCTACTGAGAGATCTTCCAGCTTTGGCAGTTTGATATGAAAGCCTGAAACTTATGCCATAGAAAGCTATAAAGAATGCATTTATCAAGGACAGCTGTTTCTGAAATATTATTTACCTTTACAGGACTTAAAAGGGACATATTTTCTCCACTAACTGTATCTACAAATTTGATTAAGAAGAAGGTTTTTCATTTGGCTTTGGAACTTATTGTATTGTGGACCTTATGGATAATTCAAAAACTAATTTTAACAGAATATCCTAGGCCATCAAGTCGAAAATGGATTATACTATCATAAGATCCCTGCAATATATGCGTTACGTGTGTCCTATTAATTCAATATAATTAATTCCACAAGCTCGATTAAACTTTGCCTGCAGGAAGTTTCTTATTTGGAACTTAAATTGAAGATTTGAATCGCCTGCAGGAAGTTTCTTATTTGGAACTTAAATTGAAGCTTTGAATCGTGAATCCGATAGCAGCAAAAAAGATTCATAACACAACAAATATAGTTGATATTAAGGCCAATTAAAATTATATTAAGGTCAATTAAAATAAAAAAATTAAAATGAATGGCCTAGCAGTCGAGTTAAATATGGAAGATATCATTATGGGATCTGATCACTGGAACATATGAGTTACTTGTGGGTCAGGAATTCAATATAATAGTTAATATTTATGATTACAAGCTTCCGATCAGACTTAGTCTAAAGGTAAAACCTGTTCATTTTTTAGTTGGGAGGTACTCGCCGTATTTTTCATACGAAGTGACTGCAATCTTTTCCGTGACTAGGTTATATCAAGACCGAACTTCTCACAAAAAAAAAAAAAAAATACTCAGAGTAGTTTTTAGTTTCGATATCTTCCACAAAATATAAGGCTCCGTTTTTGAAGATCTCAAACTGGTTTTACAATCAAAAAGGGTGTAACTTTTTTTTGCAAAATAGTTAGGCTGAATCCCAGTTTGTTGTTTTTATAAAAAACAACTATTTTTATTACTTATGTATGTAACTTTACATAAAGGAAGCAGTACAGATTTTCTAGATTGTGTTTTGAAGTTGAGTATAAAGTTTTGTCATCCTATATGGCTGTAATTTACATATTAAGTCCTTTACGGATGAAGAATTTGATGCAATAAGTATAAGCCTACCTTTTGTCCTGAAATAAGGAAATTGATACAATTTCATATTTCGAATTTAGAAGGTCATATCCACATTTTTCAATGGAATTGGTTATCGGTAGCTGATTACAGATTTTAATGCTGAATTCTTCAGACTAAGTGTAAAGTCAGAAAACTATATATTTCTATATGTCTTTCAAAAATAATCCTTCAAGACAGAATATAAGTTCTGAGAAGGTTCTATTTATTCAATCAATTATAAAAAGTTTGTACAAATGATTATTTATCAGTTTAGTAACAGGAAGTGAGGGGAAAATATTTTTTCACATTCAGACTTCAGGTCTGTCATATTTTTACTGGACAAATTTCCATAGTAAAATTCAACTGTCAAAACCGATTTCCTACTATGCTCAATTTGGACTTTTGAAGATTATTCAATATTCTTCAGTAAGCATGTATGGACCTATAGACCATATCTCTTAATGGATAGGATTTCTTCCATAAAAAATTAACTTTTCAAATTCTCTCTCATTTCACTCTCTTCTAATAACAGCCGAACATTCGAGATTTATCTACAAAGAAGGTAAGCCCACAACTGAATATTTCAGATAAATAAAACAACTTTTTCGGTTCGCCTTCCGACGGCTCACAAGAAAGACACATTTAAAGAGTTATTCACGCCTACGAGCTTAACAAATTAGAAAATGGCGCTGTGTTAAGCGTTCGCTTAACTTGCCACGGGTTCTATCGAACGAAACGAAAAATATAAGAAAATCTCGTTCATATGGTGTATAGTCCTATACCTTCTATTCTAATAGAAAGTGGACTAGCTGGAGGAGGACCAGCCTCCAATTTTTAAAGAGAAAAAAACTTTTTCTTAACATTCCTCGAATGGTACAAAAAATGTGTCACCGTTATTAGGAGATGTTACATGTATAGTGTGCAATCCTCGAATATTAAACATGCAAATAAAACAAAAATATTTTTAAATTGAATATAATTTAAATAATATACAATATTAATAAATTATTTTACTATGTATATAAAAGTATTTATTTTAAATAGCTATAGTGCACTTTAGATTATAAACCATTAAATATCATGGATTATATTAAAAAACTGTAAACGTTTATTGATCCTATTTTAAATATATAGAGAATATATGATTCCATATTGAAAAATAAATTAAAAAACGAATAAAAAACATATATAAACTTTTGAAGTTTTAGTATTATTTGATGAAATAAATAAAATAATACTGGGGCCTATATGGTTTTTTTTTTCAAAATTAGTACGTGTTTTATTTTGCCAAATTTTAAAAACTGAAAGCACTTTAAAAGTTTTTTCCTTATCAAGGCCAAATCAGAATGGTTTCTTTGAACGTATTCCTAATTAACTTAAGAACAATATTAACCGAACAAGTTATTTAAAGTACTTTTGATTGTCTTCAAATAGTTTTGCTTCAAAGGCAAGGGTATTGCCGAATATTATTTAGTAATTCCTCCTCGAATAAAATTTTCTAAAAGGATGCTAAATATTGCCGCCATATTCTATAAAAATATTCTAATGAAATATAAATAAAAAATGTCAGCAACTGTTTCACTGTAATAACTTTGGTTCAGGTTTTTTATACCCTTCACCACACTGTGGTACAAACAAGCAAAAGGAAACGAGTTAGACACATAGTTCCTTTTAAGAATATGCATAGAATCGTTCTTATTACTGTTTGCGTAGTCGTGTTGAAAATTTGGCACTGCCGTATTTATACGACAAATCGGTATTATACAAATTGTTACAATACTCAAAATTTGTCGTGAAAGATCCAGTTGACGACAGCATAAAAATAACTAGGAACGTATTATCGCAAGAGAGTAAAAAAGGCTTACTCTCTGAACTGGAACTTACAGAATAAATGTTACTGGAAAAATAACTAGACACACCTATTATAAAAAAATGCGGATGGTAGTTTCCAAAGCACTTAACTTTTTTCTGTTTATACCGCGCTTTCAGAGCTAGGCTAAGAACTTTCCGAACTGTGATAAAGATCACATATTTTAGTTCATCCAATTTTATGTTACTGTTCCTTCAAAAATGTGACTTCTGTTTAATATACCCATAGTTATGAAGGATATCATGTAGTCGGCCCGGCCGGTCTTTACTTCTTCAAGAATATTTTTAAACGAACCATTAGTTTTATAGGCTTGATTTTTTTTATATTTTTTCAATGTTCATTAGTTATATAGGCTTGGTTTTTAAGAATATATTTGTAAAGACTTTTGAGAGAAATTGTTTTGATGGACCATTTTTTTAGGCGTGGATTTTTACACGTCCGACATCACTCATGACATGAAACAACGCTTAACGCTTTGGCATTTGAGATCATAAAATATTCCTTTATGCTACACTGCCACTGCTTTACTATTTTTTCAAAATTTTGAAATCAGAAATGTACATATAACTTACCTCGAACAATAATAGACCGATTTGCATTGTGAGCATTTTTTCTCAGCATTTCCATGACAATTGCCACATGTTTGTTGACCGTTTTTATTCGATTCCACATTGGAAGCTTCTTTCTTCATTTCTTTAGTTGCGGCTACCTTTTCTTCTAATTCCGCCATTAGATCCGTATTATAGGCTATATTAAGACGCTGGGCTACATTTAAAATATGATCCTTATCATTGCAGAGGAATATCTTTTCTTGCATTTGTGCAATACCCAAGAAACCACCATATTTTTCCGTTTCAGCAATTAGATTTTCTTTTATTTCCGGTAATTCTTCCAAAACTAGATTGGATTTTTTGGAAGGCGGCGACGTGTTACCCGACATTGAAAGTTGACATAGATATTGTTTTAAATCGATCAGTGGTGGTAATTGATCCAATAACGATTCATGCAATAAACCGAGGCACTTAAAAGTAATTAACAAAATTATTAAAAAATAAGATTTAAAAATGTTGGAATCACATTTGAATTTTACTACTATACCTTTCCCAAATGTTTCCTTCTCTCATCGTTCAGTTCATACGACTGCATAACATTCGGATTGAACAGTAATTGCCGCAAACAAAACCATGCCTGAGCTTCATGCTTCACCACTTTTGCCACATTTTCACCATGGACCACTGTCCATTTTTCATCCAAATATTTTTCAAGACCTTTTTTGGTTTTTCTTTGCCATGGTCGAAATTGTAATAAATCGGCCATTAACCATATAATATCGTGGGTTACAATCATACGTCGCATAGCACTTATTGGTAAGGAATTTAAATTATCGGCCAAATAACTGAGAATGGATATACAACGTATACCGATTTTATAAATTAAATCCCGCTTTTGGCGTTCCAATTCTGTGAGTATTGCCTCATCGACATCAATGTTGTCCTCATTCTCATGATAGCCCATGCTGTGGGGGGAAATAAGAAAGGCGTTAGGTTTAAAGGTATGAGGAGTTTGAAGGGTAGATTATTGTATTATGGGGTCAGATGAACAGACCCCCTACAGCTTGCCTGTCATAAATCTGAATTCATGCACTTACCTTACCAAACCGATAACTTGTGCCACACCTTGGGCGCAATAATCAATTAAATCCAATGACGTATCCTGTAAAGCCTCACAACCACTCGAATGATATAAAGCAACATCGAGCAGTGTAATAACAGCACCCTCATGATATAGCACAGTATAAATTAAAAATGTGGCCTGTGGATTAGGATCGATGTCCAAAAGATGCGGCAATACCTTTGTCTTCCATAAATACACACAATACGCTTCGTGTATTAGAATTTTTAATTTATCACATGATATTAACATTTCTTTCACTTCTTCTTCACGGTGTTCGGCAGCCTCCAATATTGCCTGCTGACTTAATTTTATAGTCATTTCATGGACATCGAGCCATTTATCAGAGCCCACATCACGAATTTCAAACGGGCGTATACTTTCAACGAAAAAACTCAATTCTTCGGGAAATACGAAATTATTCATTTCGAAATTGGGAGGGATAGGTGTGATCGCTTATTGGGGTTTAGAAATAAATGAGAAGCTGGTTTTATTTATTTATTATTATTATTTTTTTTTTTTTTTTGAAAGATAAAATATTGTTATTTTTTAAATAAACAAAAGTGTGTTTGGTTGCTATGGTTTTCTTATAACGATTCTTTTAGATAGCAGGGTGGGAATTTTACTCAAGTGGCGATGCAAGGTCAGCAGGTGCAATATAAATTTTAATTAATAACATTGTGATTAAGTAAGGGCAGGGGGACTATGTGCTACTCTACTCCACTTAATATTTTCCCCAACAACCATCAGTTTTATAGGAGTGGATTTTTTAACAATCTTTTTCCAAGGTCAATGTTTTGACATAGACTTCTTGTAAAGGTCCTGGCCCCATTTCCAAGGTCAATACTGAACTTAAAGCCTCTGGGTCTCAGCATTAAGTGTCAGCCCTAAGGCTGCCTGAACAAAATCTTTGGCAAAGTTGTACCTTTGGGCATGGTTTAAACTTGAACGAACCAGCTATGACATTGGACCAACGCGTAAAACTAAGCGACTATAAATCACCAGTTCTCAGATTTGACGATGTAGATGTCGTTATTCCTAGTAGAGACGACTGGAAACGGAGTAACCCTCCTCTGGACGGTCTGGCTTTGTATACAGATGGATCGAAGATGGAAGAAGAAGGTACATTGAACCGCTAGCTATATTTTTGTGTATAGTCAAGTTCAAGGCTCTTTAAGCCATTAAATCCTGTTACATCAAATCAGAGGCCGTCTTCATGTGTATAACAGTTTTGTGATATTATGGAAAATGAATGAGCAGACGAATTAACTAGACGAGGATCCCAATCTACAGATCGAGCAATTGATGGCTTAATCAAACCACACCTATGTCATCTTTATCGGATACTGTAATCTACAGCATCATTAGAAGTCTAAAGTGGTTGGGAAAGTGCAACCTTGGCACGTAATATATTTTCTGTCCGAACTCTATAGCCAACGATACTCTCTCATACTTTCTTGTTAGATACTCATCTCTCTCTATCCCCTCTTTTTCTGCTCCCATAGATCTCTCCATATATTTTTCTTTTCTGACTGGTCTGCGGTCTAGGTGGGGGCTGCCATCTATCGTTACATAGAAACAATGTCACATTGTGTTTGGCGCAGTGGTTGTGGTTCTTTTGTATTGCATTTTCCTCTGGGTGGCGCTATAACTGACTGGTCATAGGCAGCTTATTCTAGGTGGTGCGACCGACATCTATCGGTGCATAGAAACAATGCCTCACTGTATTTGGCACCTTGGTTAGGGTCCTTTTGTATTGCATTTTCCTCTGAGTGGCGCTATGACTGACTGGTCATCGGCAGCTTATTCTATGTGGTGGAACCGACATCTATGGCTGCATAGAAACAATGTTGTTGTTGTAGCAGCCCTATTGCTCTGTCGTAGAAACAATGTTTCATTGCGTTTGGCGCCGTGGTTGTGGTCCTTTTGTATTGCATTTTCCCCTGGCGCTATGACTAACTGGTCATTGGCAGCTTATTTTAGGCGGTGGGGCTGCCATCTATCGTAGCATTGGAAGAATAACTCATTGTATTTGGCACCGTGATTGGTGTCCTTGCTTATTTTGTGTTGCCATTTTCCTCTAGGTGGCGCTATCAAGAGGTCGGTAATTATAATGTCAGGAGACTTTGGGTACATTTTATCTGGAGGGGAATGTAAGCCTCTTTTTACAAGTATGCGAAGAATATTTGATAATATTTTTCTTCCTTTGCTGGGATTTAAGCCCCAGTCACATTTATTTGTAGTCTGGCAAACTATCTACTGCATAGTATTTCGCTCATTTCTCTAACATACCGTCCCACAAAAATATTTAAGTTTGTTATATTTATATTTTAACCTATCTTCACCAATTTCAAGAGGATTTATCCATGAGCCAACTTTGAGATTTTGCTTCTAAATATAACCCCAAAGATATAAAGGAGACTAGTATGTTTGAAACTAATTCACATAAATATGAAATTTATACCACAGTATGGTGCAGGATATTCAAAATTCATTCTGAAACGCTATACTTGTTAAAATAATAAACAATATGAGCAATAAAAACAACACTTAACTTCGGTTAAAAAGTGACGTGTTAATTTTGACTTAGCTAAGCTCTTAAAAATATGAGAAATAAAACTTAAAAAAATATTTTGAAACCAATTATTGGAATAACAAAATTTTAATAAATCATTTCATTTTTTTTTTTTGTATAACGATAGCCATATATTTATTTATTTATTTTTAGGTTTATATAAATTATAAAATTTTATTTTTGAATATTGCATGTTATTCTTTGTTATTACATGAAAAAGATTTAATATATTTTCTTTTTCAGTCCAGATAGTATACCAAGCCGATGAAATATCATGGTAAACTGGAAACATAGAGAGAGAGAGTTAAAAATAAACGGAGATAACTCTATTTTCCTCCACATACATATACTAGGTATATCAACTACAAGTTGTAGTAGACTAATGAATCCAAAATCTAAGTAGAGGAAATAGGCAATGAGACATACATACATATAAGAGCAAACAATAATATTGAATCGTAAAAGAAAGAAAAAATGTAGAAACAACAAAAAAATTATTTAAATTTATATCACTAAGAACTTAATTATTAAATGCTGTCGAAGCGGATGTAGGTGGTGGTGGGGGTAGATTAGAAACAGAAGTTGGTACTGCTGATGGTGTCATAATGGGTGCTAGAGGTGAATGTTGTTGTTGCTGATGCTGTTGTAAATGTTGCTGCTGCTGATGTTGAAGATATGCAGCCATTTGTGGAGGCATAGGTGTTGGTTGTGTTGGATAAAGACCACCCATTGATGGTTGTATTTGGGGATAGCTGGCAACAGTTTGAGCTGCTGGATATGATAGTGCAGCTGGAGACGACATATATTGTTGTTGTTGTTGACCAGTAGTGTACATGGGTATCGTATTCTGTGGAATAGCCATATTAGTCGGCATTTGTGGTGGTTGTTGTTGAGGAGCCGTAGCTTGTGGGTATGGGAGTTGTATGTTGCTAGTTGTGGGTGCCTCGATTACTCCGGGTATGTATAAATTCGTTGGGGGTGGTAATGTTGTTGCTGGGGCTGGAACTGGAACAGTTGGTTGAGAAGGCGACGAAACTTGCACAGGTTCTGGTGATGGCACAACAACTGGTGGTACAGTTATTTCAGGAGCCGCTGTTTCTGCCACCTTTTCAGGTTGTTCCTTTTGTGTATCTGTTGTTGTCGTTGTTTGGGCATTTTCGTTAGTATTGCCACGAGTCGAGTCTTCAGGAGTGGTTATCAATTCAGGTGTATTATCATCGGGATTAAAGTATTGTTTGAACACACTTTGCTGTTGTTGTTGTGTCTGCTGCTGCTGCTGAGTTGTAGATGTTGTTGTTGCAGCCGATGTACTGGCAAATGTATTGCTCAATGGAGGCACATATGGCAATGTAGGAGCAATAACAGTGGTGGTCGCCGTAGCCGGTATTACAGGTGTGGTAACAGATGCTGGAATTGTTGGTGCTGCTGTAGGAATGCTCTTAGGTGGCTGAGCAACCGTACCAGGATTTCCAGCTTGTAATGGTATACGATGAAGATACCCGTAACCAATACCACATCCCAAAGCTCCCTCTCCACCCCAATTCGAATTGGGTTTAATGGTTACCTCGCGACAGGCATCATCATCGATATTGTAAACATACATCTTGAGCGGCTGTTGTTCATGTGTCATTATCAATGTAAACAAGTCGTCATTTTCATGACGAATAGCATCGGCACCAATGACATAATCTGAATAGGCCCGCAGACCAGCCAACTGGGCTGGGGAGTCTGGATACACTTCCAAAATATGCCAAACATGTTCGTTGGCACCCTCAAACGAACAGAAACGTATGCTTACCCCCAACAAGCCTTGGCCACCCCAGCCCGTGCTAGGGGTCAGTGTCAGTTCACGAACACTTTGAGTTTTACTTGAGTATACCACCAGTTTGACCGGCTTATCAACATTTTGTTTTAACAACTCTTTCAGCATATCATTATCCTGATCCAGTCTAGTGCCAGCAATGGCAATAATAAAGTCGAAAAATGCCTCAAGACCAGCTTTCTGACCGGGTGAGTTATCTTGAACCTTATGTGAATGTTGGAGAAAAATACAAATACGAAATAGTATCCAATTATATTGAGTATATGTGAAATTATAATTACCTTTAGTACATGATATCCCTCGGTACCACCACCAGGAATTTCGACACTGTGTCCTGATCCCATTTCAAATTAATCGACGTTTTTTCGTTTCTTCTCAAGATTCCAGAAATTAAGATGATCTGATGTGGCACTATCAGAAAAATAAGCAAATAATTCTAACTCTGTCACTCCCTGTCAGATGTGTCGTCACTGTACAGTGAATGGAAAGTGTCAGTGATTTCATGCAAATGCAGTTACGATTTATCGTACGACAAATAAAAAACCTCTGTGGAAGGGGTCATAGGCGGGTGGAAGCGACTTTTTTATGCCCTACACCACGATTAGTATTATATGCAGGGCATACTCTTAATCATCGTTTTAAAACCCATAATAAAATAAAGAATTGGGTATCGTCCATTAGAGCAATATCTGAATTTGAAATCATTAAAAATGACTCTACTAATTCTTGAGGAAATTAGATAGGTCAGGAAAAGATCCCCCTTTGATAAAACGTATAAAGAACCCGTAGAAACCTTAACATGAAATCTGACGGATTTAGGGTCAATATGACTGCGGATCTTTGGTACACCTAATTTCAACCAGATAAACTTTTTTAGATGATCAAACAGGAGTAGCATTTTTTTGTATATAGGAACTGTATTAAAATCTGGGTCAAATTAGACCAAAAAGGCCCCTTGTCTTTCTTGGCTCAATTCGGATGCCAATATTCAAAGATACTGAATAGTTTTTACTGGAAAAGAAATTGATAAACTGTATATATATTCTCAAGTTTGATCCGGGCGATCAAATATACACACCTTCAGTTAAAGTCAGGACCCTTGAATTGGGGGCTATATCAATAACATAGTCCTACATTGTAGATTATCGACCAGAAGGTATTTCCTACCCGAAATTAGCAAATTGCTGACTTTTAGGTTAAAGTATCGGTTAGAATCTACAACATACCGAAAATAGGGTGGAACCTTTAAATGTCATAACATGGAAGTATATCGACTAATTTCTGCGAATAAATTTGGGTGAGGGTCACTCTTGGTCCAAAGGTGACAGATAAGGCAGGGTTTTTGTAAATTCGTACTAGAACGTTACGAAAAGTACTAAATATGGTATCATTTGTATTTGGCGAACAATTAGAGCTAGAACTCTGATATTTGGATTGAGGGTCATTGATATAATGCAGGATATATATACCAAAGGGTTTTTTGGAAATTCAAACTATAAGTATCCGAAAAGTATTAAAAAAAATGTTGAGAAGTAAGGTCGATAAAAAGAGGTGGTTTTAGAAGTTTATACGAAACGTTCTAACAGTACTAAATGTGGTATAATTTGAGTTTGAAGAAACTGATGGAGCAGAAATTTTGAAATCACATTTCCGTCGCAGTGTAGGATTAGAATATGTAAGTCGTTTTGGAATATTTTTACTTATGTGTACAAAACTAAGTCGTACTATAATTGGTACAATTTTGATTTGGGTAAAGTGTAAAATGAATACTTGAACAATTTCGAATTGGTATGGATGTAAATCAAATCAGCTGGGACTTGCTGTTACCTTTTATAATTGTACCATGGACTTGGGTATGGAAATTGACACTAATGAGTACTAAATTTGGTACAATTTGAATTTTTGGTGGACCGATAGAGGTGGGAGTTAGGATCATTGTTGTGCGATAGGAATGGGGTTATGTAGGAAGTTTCGGAAATTCATACTATTGAGTATTAAATGGTACCAAATTTGGATTTGGGTGAACCGATAGAGCTTGAACACTGAATTTTGGAAATACGGTTACTGTTGGAGTGTAGAATATGGATGTAGTTTTGGAAATTGGAAAGTATACTCAATTGCACTAACATAATCATGTAGATGCAAAGAGTACACATATCGTATTATTTTTCTGAATATTTTTTCTATTTTATCAATATTATATGACCAAGTACCTGAATAAATTTCAAGTAGATATGTACTTTAACTTTCTGACAAATATTAGAAATGTTTAAAGCGATTGACAAATGTAAAATTAAAATATATTTAAATGTATAAGACCAAAAGAACTTCTATACGGAATCCTCTTTATTTGCCTTAGACAGATTTTCGAAAATTTAAATGTAAGAGTTGATATTCCAAAACTTATTTCCGTTAGATTTTTTTTATTCGAACGTTCCTACGCCTCACTTTCCCTTCCCTGCCAACGGAGGGGGCGACCTCTCCTTTCGTAGGGATCGCGTACACATAATATATACCAGATCGAAAAGGAAAATTTTTTCTAATAGGTGAAATTAGGAAATCAAAGGGTATATAATCATTTTATATTTTTGGTACCATCATAGTGTTCAACACAATACGTCTACTTTTTAATGTAGGTAATCGAATTAATTTTAAACTGCTAGTGTAAGAAGGCAACACAAAATCACTATTCTAATGTAAACCTCTCCGCTATAAGAAAATAGAATATCTTCTATAGACCTTACAGACAAAATACCTTCTATAGACATAAAAGAGCTATTGCAGTAATCAAAAATTATTTCATTTGAGCAATTAATACATTAAATATTTTTGTTTATTTTATTTTTTAAACATTTTTTCACATTTGCCAATTATATGTGTAGCTTATTTTAAATACAGACTGGTGGTGGTTTGAATGCAGCAGCAACACACATTCAATTTATTTCATGGCCAAAGCTACTTGATATTGTTGTTGCAACTTTTGCACAGATTCCCGATGTTTAGCCATATCCTTTTCCATACTTTCCAGAGTGTCGGTGGAGCTCTTCAATTCTTTGGAAATGTATTCAATACGTTTACCAACATTTTGACGAGATTCCTCGAGCTCTTGTTTTACCAACACCGGTCCATATAATTTGTAGACTTTATTGTCGGGGCCCAAAAGATTCAATTCGTCCAAGACACATTTGTTCTCATTCAATTGGCTTTCCAGCAGTGTACGTTGTTTAACCAATTTCATGCATGCTGAAGGAATACAGACACACAAACATTAGTATTTTGTGGTTAAGTTAGTTTGGAGGTGTACCATAGCATGGAAAACCTCTCGTTAGGAATACATACTTTTTTGCAAGTTTTGATAGACTTCCAATTCGGATTGTAGTTTCTTTACCAAGGCAGCACTGTTTTTATCCATTGTGTTGTGTGACTTTTAGGTATTCTAATTGATTTTTTATAAAATATAAAGCAGATGCTTTGCTACAAAAAATTCCTCCGAAGAGAATTGAGTGTTTTTTGGACAAACACAGTTGTAATAATGTGGAGTAATATTTCTGTGAATCATCATCTGTTCCGCCGCCTACAGAACATATGATACACTGAAAGAAATTAATGTTAGAAAAACTGCTATTATTTAATTAAGTTATGTTTACATTAAACAATTTGGGAAAAGTCTAGTATAGGATGCGGATTACCATAATATATTTGTTTTCAAAGAAATCAGAGGTGACCAGACATCCACGCGATAAACTTTTTCGATATGGAGGGAAACTTAAGCAAGTGGCCGGTCAACAACGGATTCTGATCATACATGTGTGGGATCTAGATGGTTAATAATTTACATTTTTTTATTATTTTTTATTATTATTTATTTATTTAACAATTCCAAAGTCCGAAGACCACATTTAAGAAATTGACAATCGACAGAATATACTTATAACAACAATAAAAAAATTTAAATTAAATCTATATATGCAAGAACAAGAAAATTAAATTCAACATTTACTTATCACAAATAACCAAAAGGATAAAAAGTGAAAGTAAAGAGAAAAAATGACATAAACTCTGCTAGCAGTCTAAATAACTACTCGGTTTGCCGAGCAGAAATAGCTCATCAACAGGCATTGCAACAAAAAAAAAACATAATTTACAAACTTAGCATCAAACCCAGCATTAAAAAATAATATAACAGCTTAAAATAAAGATGAGGATTGTAATTACTACATCGATTTTTTAAATCGTGAATATTTAAAAATTTATTACAGAATTAATAGTTTTCGATTAAAAGGGTTTTTTATCTCAAAATATTGGCTTAAAAAATCTTCATATGAAAGCTGTTTTTATGTTAGTAACTGAACCCCACATTTTGCTCTCTCTGCATGTTTAAAATTTATAGTTTTTCGATATATGATTTGCACCATTAAATCCTGTATTTTGATATTCTTTTCTGGACATTCAGTGGGATTTGGGGGAGAGTCTAGGAGGTGCCAATGATCCCAAGATCAAAGAGCAGTATTACTTACTTACTTAGCTGACTTGTGACAGAACTTTCGTTTCATAATCCGAGTCTTAAGCTTAGGCGCGTCGGTTTTTTGCGCAGTTTTTCAAATTTGAAAAACCATATTCGGCAATGTTGTCTTCCACTTGATCTTTCCAACTTATTCGCGGCCTTCCCCTTCTGCGTGAACCATCAGCTGGTTCGCTTTTATATGCCTTTTGGTCTGCGGCATCTTCATCCATTCTCGATTTCCGAGAATAGCTGGTACAACTCATGACTCATTCGACGGCGATATTCACCATACGCAGATCGGCCCATCGATCTTTCGGCCCATCGATCTTTCGGCCCATCGATCTTTTCTCTCAAACTCTCCAAGAGCTGCCTCATCTGCTTGCTAAGTACCCATGCTTCAGATCCATATAACATTACGGGTAGCATCTGTTGGCCAACACTATCCTTCTCCGAATTTCAAAACTGATGTCATTAGTTTTATATATGGCGGTACCATGGTATGTTTCAAGTTTCACAGTTGGTCCGAGTCTACTGGACGTCTTGCGTGTTCATACCATCAGCTTGGTCTTCTCGCCGTTTACTGCCAGACCCACTTTGGCAGACTTCTTCTTAATTTGTTCAAAGGTGGCTGTTACCGCTCTCAATGTTAGAGCAGAATTAGCGACCTTCAGTAACCAATTCCTAGGTCTGATGTCTTTCCTACCTATTTGAGAAAACCGACTCTTGACGTCTTAGCCAAAAGAGTATCCCGAAGAGGATGACGCTATGGGGATGATGTGGACGTGAGGTCGTCAATCTTACCGCAGATTATAGAATCATCTCCATGTCGGTCGATGGTAAATTGGTGCTTCCAAATTCATTGGAATGGATGGCGCCTATTGTTGATTCAATCAGCTGGACTTTCTTGTAACCTTTTTATAATTGTACCATTGGTGGTGATATAGACCTATTATAACATTTCAGGTCCAGCATGGCGTCTGTTATAATAACACCAGCTTCTAAACGAATTGAGATAGATCGATAGATCCCATTTCCCCATTTTCAGTATTTTGGGGTTCTTCTCTAGTCGCTACTTTTACGATCTTGTAATCATTTGGCCTTCTAAGGATATTGAGATAAAAAACTCGAACTTGACGATAATTAAGTATATCGGCCAGTATTTAAGTATCTTGCCCATACCTCTTGAAGGAAAGAATTGAAGATACAAAACAAAAATATATATAGAAATTGACATTTATCGGTCATTAATTAGGCATAGCCCTCATATAATTATAACCTCAAATATTCGCTAATTCCTATACTATGTAATCAATATTGGTCCCTCTTTTGACATAGCCTCACATAATTTTGCAAATCTAAATTGCAGTAGTTTGAGAATTTGAATACTCTACCATGCGTTATAAGTATCAGTCCACGTTTTGGGGTATTCAGATTTTAGGAAAAATCATCATTGCTGAAATTTATATTTGGTGTATATAATGGTTTACATGTAGAATTATAGGTATATGTCCACTTGTTGGTATGTTACCTATATTTTCAATGCATGTATATGTCAATATATGGTGAGGGTATCCAAAGTTAGACCCGGCCGAACTTTACGTTTTTTTTCACTTGCTCATATTTTGAACGTTTCAGCCGTATTTTCTGACCTATAATTTGTCATTCCATATTTTTCGAGTTTAAACATGTGTTGACAGAAAATACAGTTTCATGTTTTTGTCCTAGTGTCATTATAAAACCGAAGTGATTATTATTAGGCAATTCGAGTGATTGTAGAAGAAAAAACTTCTTCGAAATTTTTGCACATTTATTTAGCCTCCCCATATAACGTTAACGGCCCATATTAGGTATTCAGGTTCTTGAAGAACGAATTTTGAATAAATTTGAATTTTGCTCTGTGTAGATTTAGACAGTTTCCCCTGTGTATGTATTGCTATCCCTTTCTACATTGCAATACCGATACAACACTGTTTGCGACTCAGCAAATTTACTGCCAAACATTTGAGGCTGGCAACACCAAACATTTCTGACAAACGAAAACTTGCACTGTAATTGTTGAAAGAAACGCGAATTTTTGCAATACAATTACAATTTGTAATTGAAAAATTAAAGGTAATTTCTTTGTCTTTTCACAATAATCATCAATAGATTTGTTCAATCTTTACTTTTCCAACAATCGACAGATATTCAAGAACATCAGTCGAGATAATCTATCAAAATGCCAAGCGAAGCCGCAAAAGCCGAAAAGAAACCCACTGCTGTTAGCACAAATGAAAAGAAGGATGACAATCCCAAATCGGCGGCAGCTACGGACAAGAAAGATCCCAGCAAAGATGAAAAAGAACAGGAATTGTCCGATGAAGATCAACAGCTGCAGGAGGAATTGGATATGTTGGTGCAGCGCCTACAGGAGCCGGATACTAAATTGTATATGCCTGCGCTGGAAATGATGGCAAAATTGATAAGAGCCTCCACCACATCAATGACATCGGTACCAAAGCCATTGAAATTCATGCGGCCTCACTATGAGACCATGAAAACTCTGTACAAGCAGATGCCCGACGAGAAGACCCGCTATTTGTGTGCCGATATTATTTCCGTTCTATCCATGACAATGGGTAGCGGTAAAGATTGTTTGGCTTATCGTTTCTTGTGTGACCGATCACAAAAGATCGGTGAATGGGGTCATGAATATGTTCGCCATTTGTCGGGTGAAATTGCTGCCCATTATTTGGACACCTCAGGGGAGTTTCGGTCACAACTGATTGAGTTGGTAAAACAAATCATACCCTATAATATGGAACACAATGCTGAGGCCGATGCATGTGATTTACTCATTGAAATCGATCATTTGCATTTATTGCAAGATTATGTAGATGAGTCAGCATATCCAAGGGTCTGCTTATATCTGCAATCATGCTATCCCTATGTTCCCGAGCCAGATAATACAATTATCTTGGAAACGGCTTTACAATTGTCGAGGAAATTTAATCAATACACCCAGGCTATGCGTTTGGCATTGATGCTAAACGATATGGATAAGATTACGGAAATCTTTAAGGAAACCAAGGATGCTGCTGTACAAAAACAATTGGCATTTATGTTGGCACGTCAACAAGTTTGTTTGGAACTGGATGAATCATTCCCCGACTATGATGATTTAATGGAAATAATGTCCAATGCCAATTTGAATAAACACTTTTTGAATTTGGCTCGTGAATTGGATATCATGGAACCCAAGACCCCTGAAGATATTTACAAATCTCACTTAGATAATGCCAGGACACGGTTTGCTTCTATCCAGGTAACATTTATTGCTAATTTTCCGTAAAAACATAAATACTGAAATTTGATTTTTCTATTACCTTAGGTCGATTCTGCCAAACAAAATCTAGCTGCCAGTTTTGTAAATGGTTTCGTCAATGCCGGTTTTGGTGTTGACAAACTCCTCTCCGAAGATGGCAACAAATGGCTGTACAAGAACAAAGAACATGGCATGTTGTCGGCCACAGCCTCATTGGGTCTGATTCTGTTGTGGGATGTTGATGGTGGTCTGACCATGATTGACAAATATTTATACTCCACTGAGGATTATATTAAATCTGGTGCCCTGCTGGCCTGTGGTATTGTCAATTGTGGCATCCGCAATGAAGTCGATCCTGCCCATGCTTTGCTCTCTGATTATATTCACAATCAGAACACTTCCATGCGTATTGGAGCTATCCTTGGTCTGGGTATTGCCTATGCCGGTTCAAATCGTTCCATTGTCATCGATACATTAAAGACTGTTTTCTCACAAACACCAAGTGTGGAAATAATGGGTATTACTGCTCTGTCCTTGGGCTTGATTGGTGTTGGCTCCTGCAATGCGGAGATCACAGAGATTCTTTTACAAACCATTATGTTCTTAACAAAATCCGATTTAAAGGATACCTTTGCCCGTTTCTTGTTCTTGGGTTTGGGCCTACTCTATCTGGGACGTCAAAAGGCCACGGAGGCGGTTATGTTAACTTTGGAGGTTGTTGAGGAACCCTACAGATCCATGGCCATGACCATGGTTGATATTTGCGCCTATGCTGGTACCGGCAATGTTTTGAAAATTCAACAATTGTTGCATATTTGCTCGGATCATTATGAGACCTCAAGCAACAGTGAAAATGAAGACAAGAATAAGAAGGATAAGAACAATAAGGAAAAGGTAATGTTTAGAGAGTGGAAGGAGATTTAGAAAATATGGCTAATTAAATTTGCTTTCTTTTAGGAAAAGGCCGAAAAGGAGAAGGAGAAAGAAAAGGATCTCTCTGCCACCCAATCCATTGCTGTTTTGGGTATTGCCTTGATTGCCATGGGTGAAGATATTGGCGCCGAAATGGCCTTCCGTTCCTTTGGCAATTTGTTGCGTTACTGTGAACCCTGTATACGACGTGCTGTACCCCTGGCCTTGGGTTTGATATCTGCCTCCAATCCTAAGCTTAACATTTTGGATACACTGAGTAAATTCTCACATGACAGCGATGCTGAAGTTGCCCACAATGCAATTTTCGCTATGGGTCTTGTTGGTGCTGGCACCAATAATGCCCGTTTGGCCGCCATGTTGCGTCAATTGGCCCAATATCACTCCAAGGATCCCAGCAATTTGTTTATGGTACGCATTGCCCAAAGTTTAACACATTTGGGTAAGGGTACTCTGACCCTCAGTCCATATCACAGTGACCGCCAGCTAATGAATCCCATGGCAGTGGCTGGTCTCATGGCTACATTGGTGTCGCTGCTCGATGTTAAAAATCTCATTTTGGGACGTTCACATTACCTGCTCTACACTTTGGTGCCCGCCATGCAGGCTCGCATGTTAGTTACCTTCGATGAAGATCTTAATCAATTGCAAGTACCCGTACGTGTCGGTATGGCCATCGATGTGGTGGGACAGGCTGGCAAACCGAAAACAATTACCGGTTTCCAAACACACACCACACCTGTACTCTTGGCAATGGGTGAACGTGCCGAATTGGCTACAGAGGAATATATCGCCCTGACACCAATAATGGAAGGTTTCGTTATACTTAAGAAAAATCCCAATTATGTTAAATAAGAGTGCAGTTATAATTAAAAAAAAAAAACAAAAATATGGAAATTAACAAAATGTATTTGTACTAATTATTAAAAGAAAAAATAATTGTATTGTGCTTTTCTTCTACAATTTTTAATAATAATTTTTCGATTTTCTGAAGGCTTAATGCATTACAATATTTAAGTGGTCTTGTGAATAGCCAGCCCACAATGCTACAGTTAAGTCGAGTGAGTCCTTTGCTAGATAACAGAGAAAAGGACATTAAAATAAACATTTTTTAAAATGATCAAACAATTTTAGTCGTTTATTTGAAATGGAGGAAATTATAAGGAACATATTTAAGGGGATATAAATACAAAATCGAATGATATTTATTAAAAAAGTATAGAATTCTGATTTCATTTCAAATTTCTTCCATTTTCAATCCATTTTTTTTAATTCAATCATCTCCAAATTAATAGAACACGATTTGAAACCCCATAAAAGACCCTATACAAATAAAACTTTGGTTCTTCTAAAATTTTATTTTCAACGTTTTTTTTTTTTTTTTAGTTTGCAACAATATTGTTAAATGACTAAACAATTCTAAACTAATAACACATTCATACATTTATCTAATATCACTGAATTAACATTAAATTAAACTAAAAAAATCGTTGACATTTTTTTTATCATTTTCAAGAGATAGATTTGTTTTGAGGCCACCCTAATGTACATCGTATTTATTTTACACAACAATCTGTTAAGGTACTTCTTAATCTAAAATAGTACGCTGTTATAAAAAATAGAACACTGCTATAACATTATGTCTAAAATGGTCTAAAAACTGTAAGGTGGTTTATGTTCATTTTCTTATAGTACTTTTCTTTGGACTTTGTGTGATTTTGTGCGGACATGGTTTCTTTTAACGATATAGACTTAATTGGGCATTTAATTCGCTCTCGTCTATTTCTTTCATATTCAATTCGGCTTCTTGTTTTTTCAGCAGCTCAAATATTGCAGCCAGTTGTTCTCTTTCAATTCTGGAAAAAGGTAAGAAAATAATGTTAGAGATAAAACCTTGAGTAGCAATTAAAAAAATCTTAATTCTCTATTGAGATGACTTTAGTTTATGTTAAATTGCCCATCTGTCATATAATTTTTATTTTCGATTACATTTTTGCGATTTTTTCCCTAGACAAACCCTAATTTAAACCGCCAAATTAATATTTTCTAAAAAGAGCCCTAATTCAGCCAAGCAGAATAAAGGTTTTCCTACAGGAAACCTAATTCAGCCAAGCAGAATTAAAGACTTTCCTATAGGAAAGCGAATTCAGCCAGCCAGAATTGAAGTTTTCCCATAGGAAACCTTATACAGAATTAAAGTTTTCATATAGAAAACCTAAATCAGCTGGGCTTAATTTTAGTTTTACTATAAAAACCATAATTCAGCCGTACATAATTGAAGTTTTTCTAGAGCAGCCGGGCAGAATTGATTTTTTCTCATATGAAACCTAATTCAGACAAGCAGAATTAAAGTTTTTCCCATAGGATACCAAATTCAGCCGTGCAGAATTAAATTTTTCTTATTGGAAATCTAGTTCAGCCGGGCAGAATTGAAGTTTTCCTATAGGAAATCTAATTCAGCCGAGCGGATTTGAAGTTTGCCTAAAGGAAATCTAATTCAGCAGAACAGAATTGAAATTTTCTTACAGGAAATCTAATTCAGCCACGCAGAATTGAAGTTTTCCAATAGGAAACCTAATTCAGCGGGGCTAAATTGAAGTTTTCTCATAAGAAAACTAATTCAGCCGAGCGGAATTAAGGTTTTCCTACAGGAAACCTAATTCAGCCGGGCTTAATTGAAGTTTTCCTATATGAAACCTAATTCAACCGGGCAGAATTGAAGTTTTTCTTTAGAAAATCTTATGCAGTTTTCTTATAGGAATCCCAATTTAGGCAGGCTATATTAAAGCTTTACAATAGAAAACCTAGTTCTGCCTGGCTAAATTGAAGTTTTTCTGTATGAAATCTTATTTAACCGGCGTAAATTGATTTTTTCCTGCAGAAAATCAAATTCAGCCACGATAATTACAAATTTCTTAAAGAAAATCTAAATAAGATGAGCAAAATTTATTTTTTATAAAATTTCTAAGTTTGAGGTTAGGGGCTCATCTGGGATTTATAACTTTTATGGGTGAAGTCTATACTAGCTTTTGAAGGGGCTTAATTAAAAATTTCCTATAGATAACGTAGACTGAATTGAAATTTGCCTATCAAAGCCCGGCTGAATTGAAGATTTTCTATAGGAAACCTAAATCCTTGAGAAAATCTAATTCAGTCGTGTTGAATTGATTTTTTTATAAAATATCTCAGGTTGATGTTAGCATACCTTCTCTCTTCCTCTAATTGATCCCTTGTCAGGTTGGCCTCCAATTCCTTAACACGATTCGATTTTATTTTACTAACCAACCCGTCCTTATGTATATCATGATCAACATCGATCTCATCATCGGTATTCGTTTCTGTCGATGTTCCATAATTACGTTTAAAATATTCCAAATCTTCATCATCATATTCATCACTGCTCATTTCATCAGCCGAATAGGTTTCCATATAACGTTCATCATTGTTGGTATATAAAAGTTTTTCCATTTGTGATTCCTTGGACAAATATTCATCTTCTATATCATCACCTTCATGATAGCTACTACTAGCACTTTGGACAACTATACCCTGGAAGGTAAACAAAATCAATTAGGATAGTATAGGTATCGGGTTTTGGCTATATGCCAACATCATTTGTTTACTTACATTTTCATCTTCCTTGAGTAAATTGCTAAAGTACAGGGCAATAATAACCGCTAAAAGGGCTGTTGCAATGCTTACCAAATAAATATTGGATACACCGCTTAAAATTGAATCGGAAGCAGCATAATCATACATTTTTCGAAAAAAGATTACTTATATTTTACTCCAAAACAAAGTTAAAGTGTCAGCTAACTTCTCCAGTTGTTGTCGTTTAGCAATGAACTAGTTCAACTGTATTATTCCATGAATGGAACCTTCGGAACTATTTGCAGACCTTTTTCTTTTGTTTTTTAATTTGAGCAAATTTTATTTAAAAATTTAAAAAATTTTTTTATAAAATAAATCATGAAATATAATAAAAAGACAAACGAACAATAAAACTTGTTCTATTTATTTAAGGGAGAATAATAATAGTCGAATAATCAAAAATAGTTTTTTTGGAGATTTTCGTTTTTAAATTAGAAGATTACGAAGTGCACATTTTTGTACTAAAATCAAAATTTAAGGTAAAAATGCGTCAAGTTTTCATGAGATACTGGCCTCCAATGATCCGCTCGGATCCTCTCATGCCTTAAAAAAATCCTAAACCAATATGTAGCCTTGGAATAAAGGTAGCCTATGCCGAATGATGTAGTCTTGGAAATTTCTAACGACCATTTCAGATATTATGGAGGGCGCCCCTTCAATTATGTCTAACTGTCTCCAGGCTCGTCGGTCTTGTGCGCATCTCATCCAATTTGGGAGCCCTTGTTCCGAGATGTTGTCTTCTACTTGATCTTTCCATCGGATTCGTGGCCTTCCCTCGCTTCCTTCTGGCTCGCTTTTATATGCCTTTTGAGTGGGTTAATCCTCTTCCATTCTCACAATATGACCTAACCAACGTAGACGTTGCAGTCCGAACCGTCTGACTATGTCGATGTCCGAGAATAGATAGATGGTTCCTTCGACGACGATATTCAGCATCGACGCAGATCGGTCCATAGATCTTCCAAAGAAGTTTTTTCAAACACTGCCTAATCTGCTTGCGCAAGTAACAATGCTTTAGATCCATACTACAGCACGTGTAATATAGGCGTCTTGTAGACTGTGAGTTTGGTCTGTCGAGAGGTGGCTTTGTGGCTTTTAAGTTGCTTACACACACCATAGCAGCATCTGTTGGCCAACACTATTCTCCTCCGGATTTCAAAGCTAATGTTATTAGTTTTATTTATGGCGATAAAATCCTTCACTACCTCGAAACTGTCGTTTACAAGTTCCACAGTTGGTCCGAGACTACTGGACGTCTTGCGCGTTGATACCATCAGCTTGACTTTCTCGCCATTTACTGCCAGACTCACTTTGGCAGACTCCTTCTCAATTCGTCAAAAGGTGGCTGTTACCACTCGCAATGTTCGATCCATTATGTCGATGTCGCCGGCGTAGGCAAGTAACATATGCTGTTTGGTGTACAGAGTGTCATTTCTGTTCACATTGGCATCTTGTTTGACCTTTTCCAGCAGGATGTTAAATAGGTCACACGACAAACTGTCACCTTGTCTGAATCCTCATTCGGTATTGAAGGGCTCCGAGAGGTCCTTTCCGACTTTAACTGCTGAACTTGTGCCACTATCCTGCATAGCCGTATTAAATTTGCAGGAATGTCGAACGCAGACATGACATTAAATACCTCTGGCTGACGAAGTTTGAAATCAAGAAATGACATTTTTTGTGTTCAGTTCATTGTTCGTTTTTTTATTTATTTATTGTATCATTTTTTAATAGGTATATGATAAAACAATATTTTGTTGTCATATAAACATTTTAAATTAACAATAAAATATTTCAAATTATAAAACTAAATTAAAATTCATTAAATAATAATTTTATAGTAATAAATCATTTAATGATACAGTCTTTTCTTCAGTAATTATTAAAAAGTAGTATTATCAATAAATTGCATTCAATACATATCAGATTTAAACATAAATAATAATAAACAAAAAATATTGTTAATACAAGAATTAAAGGAGAAGCTAAAAAAATAAATGATAATCCATGTTTACTAAATTTTAAAATTTATAAATCAATTAATTTGTATATGATTTTTAGTTAATTCATTTTGTAATATTATTAAGGCTTCAGCATGACACAACTGCCAATCAGAAGTAGGCATTCCTGTTTACCATTTTTACTCGGTCAAATTTCTCGAGTACAAAGTTTACAAAGAGAAAGCCATTTTGTTTTGTATTCTCTTCAATTTGGTAGATCATTTTACTAGTTTTGTGGGTTCAGGAACGTTTTTCGAGTAAAAAAGTTGGAAAACTTAGTAGAATAGAAAAAATTAGTAGAATCTTTTAGGTTCTGGAGCGGAACTAATGAGAATCAAATGTTTGAGTACAAAAAAACCCAGCTAGTCCCAGTTCATCTTCGGACGGCTCACAAGAAGGACACAATGTAAAAAGTATAATACGCCCACGGGCTGAAAAATAAAATTTACACTTAACTAACAAGTGTTTCAATTATCAAACGAATAATCAAGTCTTAGTGGGCCTGCACAAAATATCAACTTATTGAAACTGAACACGTTTTTTTAAGATTTTTAGATTTTGTCTAAGCATGATATATGGTTATATACCTTCTCAATTCAATTCAAGTTATTTCATAAACGAGAACACTAGCACAAAGGGCCTTCTATACTAAATAGAAAGTGGACTAGTTGGAGGAGAAGTAAAGCGAAAAACCCGCAGCTAACAATTGTTGCCGAGGTCTCTGATATCACATTTCTTTCTGAGATTTCTAAAGTTTTTTGCCGATTATTTCCCGAGTTATTTATACATATTCTGAAGGGAAATTTCAATGTGTGTATAATGTTGACAGAAATAAAAAAAACAGTGAGCGGAGCAGTATAGTCGGGTGGGGCCGACCATACTATATCCTACAGAAGTACCACGGAACTATAACTGTCTGCGGATGTTTATTCCGAGCCTGGGTAATATTTCGTGATATTTGCACCATCTTGTCCGATTAGAGTCAACTACATCTCTGGCATATTTTACGAATATTACTAATATTCAGTAATGCCCTTCTAATTACTTGGCAAGATTCCCTTCACCGTGGATTGGGTTGTGATGTCCGGCTTATAATTGTGGCATATAGATCGACTCGATAATACAGAAAGAAATTAAGTTTTCCGTCCACTTCATCCCAAAATTATTTTCTGATAATTTCCGAAAATTATAGGCGTTGTCCTTGACCATAACTGGAACCTCATGGAACATTCCAGAGCGATTAGCGCTATATTTTCGCCCTACAGTATGATAATAGGTTACTAAATAATATATGAATACGTCCGAGTACATACGACAATATAATTGGTACCAACATAAAGGTCAACCACTCTTCTTGTCCTTCAGGATTAAATATATACACCATAAAATGCAATTTTTGTAATTTTTCACATTTGACCCGCTAAATATTGACCGATTTTTATCAAAACAGGCATATTCTAGCAATTTGGAGATATTCTAGCATTATGAAGGCAGTAGATATAGTCAAGGAGTTATATATATAGATAAAAGCCACAAAAGAGCGGTCACTCACGCGACTTCAAATATACATGACTTTAGACATCACTGCTAATAATGGGAAAACTCTGCGAATTGTGTTAATATTTTGAACTTTTTATATTCTTTACATGCATAAGAGATATCAAGCATTATAATTGCACTTTCAAAAGGTTTTTTCTCGGTCACTCACGCGACGTAACTCACGCGACATTGTTGATTTTGCAGTTTTTATTTCTGCAGTCTCTGATTTATAGTCTTTAAGTTAGTACTTATGCTAAGAACAAGAAGAAAAAATGACAAATGTGGTCTTTCTTTGTATTTTTTGCCTTTACGAATTTAAGCTCATATAAAGAAACAAATTCTTTGACTTTGGTTTACCTTTTTGCGGAAGTGCCCATATATATACATATGTGAATCGCATTATCAGATGTCTCTATCCACAATGATATATTAATGATGTGGAATACTGCCGTCTATATGAGGATGAGAAAGCTGCCAACCGATGGCCAGCAGAAGATTTAAAGAACTATCTGCCTCATGGTAAGAGGGGTAAAAATGATTGTAGGGATCATAACCGGTCACGCCAGGATTAGATCGTTCCCATCCAAATGGGAAATTAACGAAGTGGACTATTGCCGTTTATGTAAGGATGAGGAAGAGCTGGAAATAATTGAAAATATACTCTGCAGATTTCCATCATTATGTAGCAAAAGTCATCGAAAATATGAAATTTACACTCTAGCTTTCTTCTCCGGAGTAGATCCCAACAAGATTTTTAGCTTTGTAAATATTTTGACATGGCTAAAATAGCCAACAACTATGCACTTTATAAAATTCTTCTATCTCTCTTCCGCTTTTATTATTTTTTGAAACTGAGAATGGGTAGGATCCCCTTAAATGACAATATATGTATATATTCAAAATAAATTATATACCCTACATCATGGTACAATTATACAAGGTAACTACAATACACATCTGATTTGATTGTATTGTAATACTCGTCTCAAGTTTCATATGACATTTTTGATTTATGTAAAACGACCCAGTAGGAAAACTTTGTACACATTATATGTGAAATAAATAATAGGATAATACAATATATAGGGAACCAGAAAAAAAATACAACACAATTTTGTGAAGTATTTGACATTTATTTTTGATATATTCCCAAATCTGCAGACGATGGAAACATATAGTATCAGCGTTTAATTTTTTCTGAAACGGTTTTCAACCATGAATTGGCATGAGACTTCCAATTATATTAATTAAAAAGTTAAATTAATTAAAAAGAGTATTAATCGCGCGTTAACTATTATATATTATCAAATCAAAGAAATCGCAACAGAAGTCCGTTGCCCTCTGATTCACAATTTACTTCAATTTCCTAACGGGAAAATGTGAAGCAGCAAATCCTTTTCCAATGAAAAAAATCCTATTTTCAACGCCATTTTAGCGGTTTCTGTATGAGTTACCTCTACATATGGCAATGATTCAATTGCAGTAATGATCTGGAAGCTATAGAATTAAAAATATGCAAGATTTTCATTCATGTTTTTCAAATTTATTCTGAAAATTCAAAAAAATTACATTTTGAATATAAATAAAATTTATTGAAATTTTGTATTTTTGTTTACATTTTTCGACATATCAGACTGACACTATAGTGTTACATACAATAATAATTTTCAATGTGGTTGTTGTTGAATTGTATTTGTTGTAGTTTTGCAGTTACCTTGTATAATTGTACCATGGGTTAGATATTCGAAAAAAACATTTTTGTTTTGTTTTTCTTCGAAAGGGAAAATAAATGATCAGTTTACCCTCTTCATGGGTTTAATATTCAAAACCATAATAATTCAGTATTTAATAAAGGGAATAAAATAAGCAAATAATTCAATTCTTTGTTGAAAAGCTCTCGTATTTGTGTTAAAATTGTTTCATTTTAAAATATAATAAAATGATTAGCTACTAATTTGCTAATTGTATCATGCTGCATACTTTTTAAAAAAATAAATATTCTTTTTTTTTTATAAAATACACTTTTTTTAAAATTTCAAAGGTATTTAAGCTGCCTTATGACGATCCTTTGGGATTTGTTGTTTGGCGTTAAAAGAGTATTAATTATCTTGCTTTAAATAAATTATATATTACAGAAAAGAAAATAAATTGATACTCTCTTTGAAATTTGAAACTCAAAATGTCATTACTAAAATTTTGAGATTTTAAAAATCTTTTAAAAACTAGTAAAAATTCTTCTAGTTAATAATATGAGAGAAGCATTTAACTACTTGATTACTTTTTTCTTGAGTGTTATTTCTTGAGTGTTATTTTGTTGAAATTCAAAATTACTTTCTAAAATATCTTTCCAATTACCCTGAGGTTGTATATGTTCGTGTCCGGTGGTACATTTCGTATGCAGCTGTTGAGCTACATCATAATCATCTTCATTGTGCGCCAAGGTTTGGGAGAATTTCTGACATTGTTTGTAGAAATTTCGCAGCATATGTTCGTGTAATAAATGTTCATAGAGTTTGAGTTGAAAGGCAACCAATTTTGCCAGCCTTAAACGGTATTCGGGAGATAAGGGACGGCAATAGGCATTTGTGGTAATCTTCAAAAAAAAAAAAAATAAATAAATAAATAATAATAATTACAAACATTTTAAACATTTCTTTAAAGATCTTCTTACATTTGTATCCTTTTCCCCATCTCCAATATGAAAATAAACATTGGAAATATTGAAAACTTGTTGTATGGTCTGTTCCAGCGATTTGTTGGTTTTGTCATCGCTTACCAAACAATATGCCACAAATGTATCAAATATACCTGACAATTCTATGCCGTGGCGATTTTTAAAATGATCCACAATACGATTGCTAAAGTGCACCACTTTTCTTGGCCTCTCCGCCGATTCGAGGATTAGACGCAACTCTTTGAATATCTTACCCAAACTTAAAATATCAAATAAATATATTGAACTCGCAGTGGAGATGGCAATCAATGATGTCTTACGATGTCTGGCACATTCCAGGGGATCGATGAGTAAACCAATAATTGTTTGAGATTTAATATCCGCAACAGCTTTGTGATATTTTTGATCTGTTTGTGTTATATACACCAGCGAATCGTATTGAGTTTGCAGCAATTGAAAATCCAATGCTGAGAGTTGTATACTAAAACCCTCACATTGTTCTTTACTGCTAACCGAATGATCACGTTGCTCTTTTGTTTTATTTTTGCTGGGTAATTTAATTTCTTCTTCTTTTTCTATGTGGGGGCTATTTTTCATTTCATCCGATTCGGTTGTTATATCACTTGAAGTGTCGACTGATGATTCTTCGGCAACAATTTTAATGCTTTTCATTTGTTGATATGCCAACATCTGTGGTGATTGATATGTAAAATTTGTTTTCACATCTCGCGCGTTGTCCAGTTCCAACATTAAATGTTTTATATCGATATAGGTTAAGGTGCCCATTAATAGTTCACGATTTGTTTCGATCAGCAAAGTCTGACCCAGACTTAGGCTGTTGATTATATTATTTGGTGATGTCATTTTATTCGGTGATTCTAAACTGTAGGAAATGATATAAAATTGGATATTAGATTGAATATTTATCAAAAATAAAAGAGAGTGTATTTTTAAAGATAATTGTTAGATAAATAAGATAACTTAACCCTCCTCCTGTAGGATCGAATTGTGATCTGGAAGGGAAAGGTTTTCGATTCTTCAATGAAAAATCCCTGATTGGGCTTTCCTAATAGATGGGAGCCATATGTGTAGGTTAGGTTTGGAGATGTACCGTATTTTCCGTAAACCGTATACACAGATAGGCACGAGGACGACACCCCAGCGTTAGATAGTCATCCATTAGAGTAGGAGACTGAAAAACTACGTCGTTTGTTTATTTATAGGGCGTGCAAAATCTTCTCCTTGTCAGTCAAGAAGTTCCATGGCACTCGCTCATTTCCTCCTCACTCACTTAAGAATTGCCGAACAGACGGGCGTTTAATCGGGGTTCTGCTTCGAACTCAAAAACTGTCGCGATCTGTGGATCCACAGTGAAAATGGTGTTAGTGGGGTGGGTTTGGCCGGACAATTGAAGAGGTGTAGCGTGTCCATCAGTACTACTTACTTAGCTGGCTTGTGACAGAACATTCGTTCCATAAGCCGAGCATAAAAAAGATTTCCAAGCGCGTCGGTCTTGCGCGCAGCTTTTCCAATTCGAAAGACTATGTGCCAAATTGTTCTCTTCCACTTTATCTTTCCATCTAATTCGTGGCCTTCCCCTTTTGCGTGAACTATCATTAGGCTCGCTTTTATATGCCTTTTGAGTTGGGCCATCCACTTTAGTCGCTGAAACTCGATACGATTGACTATGTCAGCGTATAGATCGTAAAGCTCATGGTTCATTCGACGGAGGTCGGCTCGTAGAACTTTCGAAGAATTTTTCTCTCAAACACTCCAAGAACTGCCTCATCTGCTTGCGCAAGTACCCATGCCTTAGATCCATATAACAACACGGGTAGTATACCAGCATACTTGTATCAGTACTAGCTATGCGCGCAGATATCGAGCAAAGCTATTGTCCTACTATACTGCTTCCGATATATTTAAACCCATTTTAAATAAGACAGTATTTTCTATTTTTTTAAATATCCTGCCCTCATTTTCACCTCCCAATGGACCTCCGTTGGAAATAAGAGAAGTTATTCGCGTTTAAAATTGAAAATCTATGAAACCACGTTTTTCTCTACATTTACCGTCATAAAATTAATTTTCGAAGTGACCCAAAAAAACCAAAGGTATTTTCGTGGTCCTGGGACTCCAACTAAACAGAATTATTACATTAGAACCCCTGAATAATTTTCGTGTCGCACAGTGTTATTAACGTGTAATTTTGGATCTATGAAAGCGCCAAAGATCAGCGAATGAGTCTCCAATTGATAAAACCGAAGTGTTAATATTATATTGTCAAAAATTAGATCTGGAAAACGACATGTTTAAATCAAAATCCATTGTTCTGATTAGTAATTTACCTGTTATAATTATAACGGCACTTTTATCTAATTTATCGAATAAATTCATTAGGTATTTCATTTATCACAAGAAACCACACCTAGTTGAGAGAATCGCTTTTCAGACTGAAGAGCCAAACACTGGAGCCGTATAGTTTACCATAGACCGACCTATTTATATTGTTTTAAGCTGCCATCAAGATTTCTTTGTCTGCTCACCAAGTACTACCGATTGTTTTTGAGGTTATGTATTGGCGTTACATGCAACAATTGCTATTGTATATGGTATAGAGCACATTTTTGATGAATGCAGGGAAAAAAGAACTGTCAAAAAGGTTTAAGCTGTATTCCAAATGAAAATGTATTGGTACGAAGAGAGAGAAGAGGATAAAAAGGAAAATAGGAGGAGATCTATCAACAATAGAAGTCAAATATTGTGATTGAATTTATTGCACACCACAACAGCATTACCGCGTTGATGAGAAACGGTTGGCTTATGTTCTCGTTGTGAAGATATGAGAGTTCTACATCCTCGTACATCGCTCTTATTATTCGGATTATTTTCTGGGGTACTCCCTTTTTTGCTCAATGCTTCACATATGACAGTCTGATTATGTCGAAAGCTTTCTTGAAGTCGATGAACAGAAGATACGATTGATTATTCTATAGGCTTCTAATTGGTCTGAACTCTGTTTGTAAATTTCTCAGAACGTTTTCTACTTTTATCTTCATAAAAGACAGACATTTCTACATAGTACGATAAATCAAGTTCGATTTATAACTGATCGTCGCAAAGATCAAAATCTAGACAAACTAATTTCCTATAGCAAATCTTCTATGCTATAGAAGCAATAACTTTCAAAACTCTCAAATCCAAGCTCTTCATGAGTGCATAAACACAATTAACTAAGTTCACCCAATGCGGACTATGGGTAGGTACTGGGTTACCCAGAAAAAATTAAAAAAATCTGTCCTCGCTTAGAAATAACCGAGTCAAAAGTTGGGCTATTTTCTAAATTTGATACCCCATATTTCCGGTTTAATAATATAAAAAAAAATGTTGTTATAATTAGCTGCAATATGTACTTGTACTTTTGGGTCAAATAATCGGGTACGTCCCCCAAGAAAAATATCCCCCTAATTATGCTAAAAATCAGGGATGGTCCGTGTGACGAATTTTTAGGTTTACGACTGTCAAAAAGGTGTAAACGTCGAAAACGTCATATACCTGTATAAAATGTAATAAACGTAGTAAACGTCATTTATATCAATATTATCAGCATATACAGTTATTTTCACGAATATATATTATTTTTACATATATCTGACTATTCCTTACTAGAATTGATAAAAATTTTGAAATTTTATATGGATTTGAGTAAAGCATGCGTAATTTTCAAATTGATTAATGGCAATAGCTATTTTGTCAAAAACGTAATGGATTTGGGTAGGTTTCCGACGTTTCTGACGTATGTACTATACGTCGGAAATGTATGTCATTTAAAAATACCTACCTCTGTAAAAAATTTCAGAAAAATCCCATCGTTCTTACTAAACTAGATTTGCTCCGCAAATGGTTTCCTTTATGGTGTCTCCGAAATATATTCAGGTATTGCAAACGGAATGGCAAATTTAATATACATTCAAAATTATTGTACATTAAGTTATAGTTATTCGTTTACTGTTTCAAAACACTGTCTTCGAATATTAGCACTCGTACTATTGCGTTTTTCCAAAGAGCTTTTCCATTGCATGCTGAATCTTGTTTTTTACGAATGCTGTTAGATTTTTAGATCAGAATGGTCTTTCTGACATGTTTTTTTAATGATTTAGCATTGTTTTTCTAAATTATACATTATTTTTTTTATTAATATTTTAATAATTATTAAACTGACTAACCGGCCAAACACACACTGCAAATTTTGTAAACAACGTTTTAGGGATCTAATGATCGAAAACCGACTGAAGTGCGTGGTGGCATATCAAACCATGAAATGAATTAGTACTGTTCCAGTACAACAGGAATCTACTAACTGAACCAATTTAAACCCACAAAACACTACAATGCACCCCAAAAGGAGTTCAAGGTCATTCGAATCCTTTTCAAGGTTGCCATCGGACTCCCTATTTTCATTGTTTATGACCTTGAGCCAAGCTGCCTCGTCCTTGGCTTCGAATCCTGCGGGGATTTGCCAATGAAGGTATCAGGGCAACAACATCCGTTTCAGTTGAAAAGTTTTGTTTTTTGAGGACTTTGTTTAAAATTTTCTGAATTTATTCATCATCGATCTCATGGCCTCGAAAATATAAAATTACAATCAACTTGGTTGAAAAACGTGCCCAAACTCCCCTTAATACCGAAATTTCGGATGTACCATTATATGGGGACTACTTTTAAAAAGTTGATAGTCGATAGTTTTTTGGTAGGAAGAACCTAAATTACATAAATACATGCAGGGGGCTTGATCAGCCCAATTTTTTCACAAATCCATTTTTCTTACATTCGAATTCTACACTTCAAATTTGGAGAAGTTAGCTTATCGGGAAATATTTTATCCCGCTAAAATCGCGATTTCAGCCATAGTGTGTCACAAGGACTTGGTAACTGAACCAATAATACGCTTACATTGTACCAGATTTTGTTAACCCAGTGGGTTTCAATTGTGCATTCCATGTCAAATAAATTCCTAATAAGAAATCAATGTACAAAATTTCAGCGAATTCGGTTGAAAAATAATCTCAAGTACCCCAAAATACCGAAATTTGGGGGGTATATGGGATAAATATGGGAGCTATGCCTTTACGTGGACCGATATAGCCCATCTTCCAACTTGATCTGCCTGCAGACAAAAGACAACTCTATACAAAATTTTGGCGATCTATCTCAATTCGCTAGACAGACGGACATGCTTAAATCGTGATTGAATTTTATGCTGATCATGCATATATATACCTTATAGGGACGGAAATGATTATTTCGTTTACTTACAAACGGACAAACAAAATTAATATACCCTCCATTCTAAGATGGGGGGTATAAAAAGCGTTCCAAAACCAGATATTGGAGAAGGATTTATTATTTGGTCAAAAATATATTCATATCCAAAGAAAATGTATGCGGGGATTACAGCATACCTTTGTTTGGGATTGTCTTTCGTCACCTCTAAAAATTTCCGCATTGGTTGTAGCATTGACTATTGCTTTAATAAGTTAAGACAATTACCATTTCACTATCACACATTTTAATTCGTTATTTACACAGCAGATGTCATAGCTAACTAAAAATTAGATATTCTTTGAGAATACTTTTTATACCCTCCACTATAGTATGGAGTGTATATTAATTTTGTCATTCTGTCTGATGAAATTATTCATATGATGTGGTTGTAATTAGAACTTGAATATTCTTTTAGGTTGGGAAACATTATTGTAGAAATTTGTTTATATAGGTCCATGTTTTGACATGAACCATATAAAGGTTCGGCACCATTATCAGTGTTTTTGGAAACTAATAGAAGCATATTTCTTACCTTATAA